ACCTCCATTGCCACCTGGAGGGCTACCTGTGGCTGCACTACATGTCCCTGCTCCCCACAGCTAAGGAGGCCCTCATCACCAGCATTGATGCATTTCTCAGAGTGTGAGAGGCACATGCCCACCTAGCTGTGGGGACAGGGACTGCTCAATAAAGTTTTGCAGTGTTTCCCTCCTCTCTATATGCTGTGGGGGGGCAACCTGGAACCAGGGAGTGCAGCCAGGCTGGGTGGGGAGGGGGGGCAGGGGCAGAGGCCAGGGTGGGGAGGCCCCCAGTGGGGCCTTACCACGTGGTCAGGGCTGGCATAGTTAGCAGGTAAGCTCGGTCCCAGCTGTTGGTGACAGCATGCAGCTCTAGCTGGTGTCCTCAGATGGTGGGGTGCAGCATGCAAGCACCCAGCTGGAGGCCACCCCAAGGGAGGAGCTTGTTCTGCTGGTGGCTGCTGGTATCCTGGCCAGCTGCACCTTGTGGCTGGCCCTCAGATTATAGAGCTGGTGAGGCAGGTGCTGGCCCAGGCTTCCTGAGCTGTTGGTGGAGACTGCAGCCAGGACCTCAGCCAGACAGGCCACTGGACACCTGAGGGGCCCTCCTCCGGTGACATGTCACCAGGGGTGCTAGGCTGGGGCAGGATCTTGGGCAGGTCACCTGCTGTAGACAGTATGGCTGCAGCCTGGGTCCCAGGGTGAAAAGATGTCCATCAGTTGATGCATAGAGGGCATGGACTTGCAGGCACTGCCAGAACAATGATTGTGGTTGTTCATGGTGACTCACTGTGCCTGCAAAGCCTTGACCTTTAGCAGCACTGCTGCACCAACTGGTTGTGCCTGCGCTTCTGCATCAGGCCTGACCACCTCATAGATGCAGGCACTGGAGTAGCCACCCTGCTCAAACTGGAGCTGCACCTCTGCCTCACTCCACAGTGCTACAAGGTCACCAGTCTCTTCTTTGAACCAGTTGGGGCCCCGGGTGTTGGGCACGGGCATGGGCATGGGCAAGGAAGACACCATTGGGGATCCCACAACTGCTCTCTGGGATTCTGCGTGGCTGTCTGTGTGCTGCTGGGCCTGGGCAGCTGCCTGCAGCACCCAGCACAGGGGCATGGCACGTGACTAGCAGCCACACAGCATTGGCAATGCCCCATAGCACCTGCAGGCTTCAGGCAGGCTGCTGGAGGTGTGCTGCAGACAGGTGGAGCTGGGCCTGCTGTCCAGAAGCTGCCTGCAGCTGGGCCTGGGGGCTGACAGGCCTGCCCGGAGGCTGCAGCACCCTGAAGCACCCTGCAGGCCTAGACCGTGCAGCCCTGGCAGATGCATAGCAGTGCGATACCAGGCAGCAACTCTGGGGTACAGGTAGGCTGGCACAGCTAGGATGCAGCCTGCCCAGGGGGACACAGGGGCCTGCAGTACCCTCAGACTTCCTGCTGGTGTACCCCAGGACTGAAAATGGCTGCAGGATTTTAAAGCCTGAGACAAGGGCTGCCATAGAGGCAGCCCAGCCCTGGGACAGGAGAGGCTCCCAGCCTGGAGCCCTAGCCCTAGCCTGGGGCTAGCCTCAGGCCAGTCCCCTAGTAGTAGAGCTGATGTGGGGGCAAACTTGCTCCCAGGTCACATCTATACATGAGTAACTAATCGTACTTAAATTTGCTACCTGCAAGCATGATTAAAGGTCTTTTACTGTACAGTAAGCACACACATATGTAGATGCACAAGCTCACTGCACGGTAAACTAAGCTACGGCACAGTTAGGCATCTCATGTAGAAGCACCCAATGGGGGGTAGGGACAGGGCTGGAGCCAGAGCTTCTGCTACCACTGGTGCCTGATGGTGGCGGGTAGAGGCCCAAACCCAACACATGCTCCATTTTCCTGGCTGGAACTGGAGCCAGAGCCAGAGCTGATGCACAGGATAATTAGTGGCAGGGGACACAAGTGGTTAGAGGGACACAGGTGGCAGAGGGGGCAAATTTAAGACAACCCTCCAATAATTAGTTCCTATACATGGAAAATTATAAGAAATGTATAATTTTCCATTTCTAGAATTTAATTATTGGGGGGTCATCTTAAATTCAAAGTTATGTTGGGCTTGGGTATAGATGATATATTGATTTCTATTTCTATTTCTATTCCTTCTCCAGCATTTTTTTGTGCCTTTCCTTAAAAAAAATACAGGGGTGTAGGTTGTAGCCATGCTGGTCTAAGGACATAGGCAGACAAGGTTCCTTGGGTGAATCTGATATCTTTTATTAGACCAAAAAAAATAAGCACTTAAAATACTCTGAAGACATAGGAAAATTACCTAATGGATTCCTCCATTTCTTTTCAAGATGTTGGCTACATGGGGTTCTCTGAGTTCTATTAATCTCTTTTCTTGCAGTTACCAGTATGCTTGCCTTGTGGAAAACTGAAATCAGAAGGTTTTAAATAGTGGAGAAGGGTGGGTAATTCTTAGCAGGCACTTAAAGAAAGACTTCAGAAAAAATATACAAATGAATACTTGTTTTCTGGAGTTGCTGCATCTTATTTAATGACACTTTTCAGTGAGGTTCAAAATGGCACAGTGAGGCGTTTTCCAGCCCTGACATCACTTTGTATTCCTGCT